CCATGTGCTTGAACCAGTCTGTGTAGATAATACACAATCCACCCAAACCCGAAACCTTTTTCCCTGCTTGTCTCCATACCACCCTTTCAATTCATATATGCGTTCATGTAGAGGTTTCTCAACACCAGTAGGACAGACAGTTACAGCAGATGGATCCTGAAAAAAGAAAAATTAAAATGGTGGTTCTAGGTACAGCTATATAAAGTACATTTTGGTCAAGCATTTAAGCTAAAAGTTTTCTTCACCTGCCAGTTTATTTTTTTAGGATAAATTTGCTTTCCTAATTTTTCACAATAAAAGCTATATACTTCTATCTATACCTATACTCAAGTTAATTCATCAGCCAACACTCCAAACTACCAGGGACTTTTTATTTTCACATGGGCATGATATATAAAGCATGCAGAGTAGGGATACATTCTCAACATCATTGTAATCAACCTGCAGAAAGAGCACCATGTGGAATTAAAGTAACTAATAGCAGTACAAGCATGACATCACTCCAGAGTGAAGCAAGAAATTATGAAACCTACCATTGTATGATCAAGATCAGAAACTATCATAGGACGTGCAGAAGCACTGAGCCAATCCATGACCACTCTACTGCAACCTTTAACCCTACAACCAAATTAATAACTACCACAATTAGACGCTTCTATGTGAATTTAAGTTACGAATTCTACAAAACGGGACAAGTTTGAAATCACAACACAAAGAAGTAAAAACACATGGAACCATGGAAATCGAAAGCAGTTGCAGGATTCTATATATTCTTATGGTTAAAATTTAAGGTGTGAATACTACAAAATGCCAGAAATCTTAGAAATGAGTTTCAAAACCAAACACAAACAGGCATAATGAATTGAATCATTGGGATCGGAAACAAAAACACAATACAACATTCAGAAAACAGGAAAATCAATTCAAAGCTTCAGAAAATCACCTGTTCTCGGATTGATATAAGGATTACAGTTCAGGGATTCCAGTGATACAGCAGGAACAAGAAATGAATAGAATTTAAATAAAATTTTAAAATTTTAAATCCAAGTTGTTAGTTGTAGGACTTAAGTCCAAGTTGTTAGTTGTAGGACTTATTATTAGGCTAATTTATGCCATACTCAAGTATTTTAACCAACCATTTTAGTTTCTTATTTCTTCAGGATTCTTCTGTTGCATGCATCCATCCATCTGGTTTTGAGAAACCTCTTCATAAATGCATACATGAACTGCATGGAGCTTGGACTTTGAATGCAAACAAGTCAGTGGAGCTTTAAATAACAGCTGGTGGCTGGTTTTGATCAACATTGCAAAAACAGTAGAGAGATGGTGAGATTGAGTTGCAACAGTAGCATGAAGGTTAGTAGAGGAGTTATGGTTCTGCTAGCTGATTGATAGTAATTAAACTTTGCAATAATGATATTTTTTATAGCAGATGTTTTTTACAGGACTAGTTCCGGTGGTTTTTTTCCCCTTAAGGATTTTTTTACATTAAAAAAACTAGTGTCTTGATCTTGTAGATGTGATCATTTTATTCTTGTTAGTTGCTTGATTTATTTTTGAGTTTGATTATTTTCAATTTAATTGCACACAGAGAAAAGAGTACTAGTTGAATGTGGCATTTGGTGAGCTCTTTGAAACAATGTGTTATATAGGCAGATTGGTTTTTGATCCATGAATCCCCCAATACTAGAAAGACTAACTTTTATCTTTGTGATCGCTATTCAAATTCAAGATATTAGCTGTACTGAATGGAGTCTTTGTGTTAGGATATATTTGGACTTATGTATACCATCAACCCAAACAAAGCTTTAGGATTTGATCTATATACACATTTCTGATGTTGTTCTTAAAAAAGGAAATGTAAATGATTTATTCATATCCACCTTAAGTTTAAGAACTCAGTTCAAATAATAATAAAAGTTACGAAGGGAAAGGGAATGATCTCATATATTATATATCCTATGGCTGTGTATAGTTTTATATATAAGAGATGAAATATTAATATCATTAGCACATTTACTTCAATAGAATACTGAAGAATACCTTGGAACTGGAAAGGTCAAGCACAGCATCTGATATCAATCTAGAAAAGCCAGGTTGAAAGGTCTTTCATTTTCGTTCCTTGCAGCCACGTCTATTGTACATGCATCTAGGTGAGCCCATGTGAACCATTGCCCTCCTGAAATCCACAAATCAATCGTCTAAGCAAATCATTCCAAAAAGCTGGTTTACACATTATAATATTCTAGCTTTCTTACCTTAGCACTAATCTTTCCGGTGGTTGCACAATAGCACCGCACATTACCTACAACAGTCAGCACAAGAATATCAGTAGAAAAGCTAACTGTTAGTAACAGCCCTAAGTATGAGTTACTTTGTAATCAGTCTCTGGTGTATACTTAACTTAAGTGATAGCTAATATCTGAATTTGAAGATGTTTTTTTTTTTTTTTTGGGTAAGGGAAAATACATAAAATGAAGCATTTGGATGACAAGTTAAACCCTTGGACTGTAGTCTTTGGATTCTTGATATGCTATGACATCCGTCTTTGACAAGGGTTTAAAACAATTTTTTGTTCTAAAGCAGCATTTATCAGATTAAGAACCACCCATGGATTGGTCTCTATATAAATATACTGAGAAGGAAATCAAGGGCTCAGAGGCAATTATGTTCACATGAATATTCCTATTACTGGTCTTCCAAGTTGGAGAGACATTTACTACCATATCCACAAAGAGATGAATGCAAGAAAGGTAAATAAATTAGCACAGATACGACATCTAGTTTAAATTGAAAAGATGCAGAGATTGAGCAGATATAGAAGAACATATAAAGAAATCTCACCACACTGCTCCCACTTATCGAAATTCACCAGCCATGTGCTTGAACCAATCTGTATAGATAATCCATGATCCACCCAAACCCGAAACACTTTTCTCTGCTTGTCTCCATACCACCCTTTGAATTTATGTATGCGTTCAGGTAGATTTTTCTCGACAGTAGATGGATGGACAGTTACAGCAGATGGATCCTGAAGAAAGAGGAATTAAAGTTGGTGGTTCTTTCTGAACATAGAGCATAAAGTATTCCAACAAGAAATGAAAAGTGGAAACAGCATTTCTTAGTAGATTCATTAGATAAAGAAAATCAATAAAAGTTAATGCCAAAGATGTCAATAGGTTCCAGTCAAAGTAGATCTAAAATGTAACTTAGTCCTAATACTGGTTCTAGGTACAGCTACATAAAATACATTTTGGTCAAGCATTTAAGCTAAAAGTTTTCTTCACTTGCCAGTTTGTTATTTTAGGATAAATTTTGCTTTCCTAATTTTCACAATAAAAGCTATATGCTTCTATCTATACCTATACTCAAGTTAATCCATCAGCCAACACTCCAACTACCAGGGACTTTTTATTTCCACCTGGGCATGATATACGGAGCAGCAGAGTAGAGATACATTCTCAACATCATGATGATCAACCTACAAAAGAGCACCATGTCCAATTAAAGTAACTAATAGCAATACGAGCACGACATCATTCCGGAGTGAAGCAATAAATTATGAAACCTACCATTGTATGATCAAGATCAGAAACTATCATAGGACGTGCCGAAGCACTGGGCCGATCCATGACCACTCTACTGCAACCTTTAACCCTACAATGAAATTAATAACTACCACAATTAGACGCTTCTATGTGAATTTAAGTTATGAATTCTACAAAATGGGACAAGTTTGAAATCGCAACAGAAAGAAGTAAAAACGCATGGAAACATGGAAATCGAAAGCAGTTGCAAGATTCTATATGTCCTTATGATTAAAATTTAAGTTGTGAATTCTACAAAATGCCAAAAATTCTAGAAATGAGTTTCAAAACCAAACACGAATAGGCAGAACGAATCGAATCGTCGGGATCGGAAACAAAAACACAATACAACATTCAGAAAATAGGAAAATTGATTCAAAGCTTCAGAAAATTACCTGCGGTTGGATTGATGTAAGGATTACAGTACAGGGATTCCAGTAATACAGCGGAAACAAGAAATGAATAGAACAGGTAAAGGGCATTGAATCGCAGAAATTGAAAACAAAAAATTCAACGAGCAAGAAAGCTTTACCTGCCTGCAACTAGAGGCGATCCATTCAAACCTTCGAAAGAGCAGCTGCAATGGAAAGAATTGAGGGATGAATTTAGCTAAAATTTTTAGATAACAATTTGGTTTCATCCCTATAGTTCCACCGATGAGTGCCACATCATCATTAATGCCACGTCATATCCTACGTGGCACATTGAACGTAGCCACCTTAACGATCGTTTAACATATTATTAATCGTGGGGGACTAACGGCTGGATAACTTCAGTTAGGTGATTATTTTGTTAGAGTTTTGAGTTAAATGACGAAAACGTTGATTTGGATAAAGTTGGATAACTACCCATGAGATTCA